TGCGCTTCTGGCTGCGAGCATCGCGGCCTCCCGAGAATGGCAAGACTGGTCTGTCCGGAGCCCCCTTCCCTAGGATAAGGAGGTTCGACTGAGCAGCAGATGGCCCTGCCACGTTTCTCCCCTTCGGCTAGCGCGATGACAATCGCGATGGTGCCTCGCGTGGGTGCGAATATAACTACCCTTCTTCCCCCACTGTATTTCCTAGGAGATGCGGTCCTAGCTCTTCCGCCTTCCTAGCTTTGCAGGATGTATGTGTCCCATACGTCGTGTTGCCCACTCCTTCCCCGTTCTGATCAGCGAGTGTCTCGCGTGGTCGACGTGCTGTGCTGTCACGCACGTCCATGATAGATGGGCGGAGGGATTGGATGGTGGCGTTCAGGTTCGGTGTGGGAATGGTGCTGGAATTCCTGGATACGTAGTCGTCACGCTTTGGCTACTATGTGCAGAAGATGGCGGCTGCCAGTCAGATGTGTCCCAGCCTTGACCCCGCTTGTTTTCTGCTGCTCCGAGATTGGAGGTTTAGGACATGTGTCCCAGTCTCACTCTCTCTTCTCGGTATCATCGACCATCATGCAGCCATTTCCCTCCCTTCCGCCCCCCCCTCCCCCTCCCGACTGGCCAAGAGCCACGACGCGGTCGTCGTTTCTGTGTTCGACCCGATGCCGGCCGTTTGATTTGAGAAAGGAGTGATTGGGTGGGCGCTGACGGGATGGGACTGAGTGTATGTGTGTGTGTGTGAAGTTTGTTGGTGGGGACGAGGGTTGCACTGCGGCGTTGGTGCAGGCACGGGCCGCAGGTCGAGCGTGCGAATATCGTGCATTCCCGCAGGCCCCTGCCTTGCGCCAGGCCACTTAGCTGGTCTTCGGCCCTTCGCAGGCCATCTCACCTGCTCCCCTCTTTGATCTGCCTCCTCTTGCCTCCTCCCTCCTCCTGCGGCGCGGCGATGCGCCCTGAGCGCCGTCAGACGACGAGGCGGGGGGGTGGTAGGACAGGACGGGGGCGGGAAAATCCACCAAACCTTGGCGCCCGCGCTGCACAAAGTAGCAGCAGCTAGTGAGTGCCGCACTGGGTGACCGTCTCCTCGGCGAATCAGACCGCAATCCAAATCCCTGCGTACCTCCCTCCCCCCCCTCCCTCCCCCCCCCTCCCACCCCGCCCTCCCTCCCCCCCCTCCCCTCCCCCCCTCCCTCCCTCCGTACCTCCTTGCGACTCCTTCCCGCTCTCCCAAACCTCTTCGCGCGCGCGGCAGCTCATCTCCGCGGCGAGCCCAGGGCGGGCGGCGAGAGGGGGCAAGCCTCCCGGCGGCCTTCCGGGAGGCGGCCAGGCACGGACCCCCTCCCCGGCCTGCCGAGAGGCCGCCTGCGTCCTCGGAGAGGGCATGCGAGGCCTCTCGGGAGGCGCGAGGGCTGCTGCGAAGCCCCGCCAATTTTTGAAAAGGCCTGCCCAATCTCAATCCCCCCCTGAGCTCGCCGCCGATCCTCCTCGGCCTCTTCCCCTCCTCCTCCTCCTCCTCCTCCTCCTCCTCCTCCCTCCTCCTCCTCCTCCCCCTCCTTTTCCTCCTCCTCCTCCTCCTCCTCCTCCTCCTCCTCCTTATGTTCCTCCTCTTCCTCCTCCTCCTGCTCTTCATATTCCTTATGTTCCTCCTCTTCCTCTTCCTTTTCTTCATCTTCCTCCCCATCCTCATCCTCATCCTCATCCTCATCCTTCTTTTCCTCCTCGTCATGACGGTTAGTGTGAGGAAGGGCAGGGGATGAAGCCGAACCAGGCCCGCCTCACGACCCCTGCCGCAAGGCGGGAACCAGGGTGAAGGTGGATGAAGCAGAACCAGGTCCGCCCCATTATCCCCGTTCGAGGGGACCAGGGTGGACGAGGGCAAAGCTGGAGCCATAATCTATCAGCTGCAACCTGGAAGCGGGAACTCTTGCAAGAAGTGAGGCAGTGGCAGCACCTACAGCGATGCGATCAGCTCGCGCGAGATGGGCGCAAGCGTGCACGGCAGGCTTGCGAGAAATCGGCCCATTCCAGGGCCACATGTGCTACGCCGAACCTTGTCGTCCAGGGACGGCTTGGGGTAGGGGAAGCTTCTATCGCCGTCGCTGCGCGTGATTCGCAACTTCGGATGCCATGCAAACATAATCCAGCATAATCATTTTCCACCTCCTCCTCCTCCTCTTCCTCCTCCTTCTACACCTCCTCATTATCCTCCTCCTCATCAGCATCATCATCCTCATCCTCATCCTCCGCCTCCTCCTCCTCATCATCAGCATAATCATCATCAGCATCATCATCACCACCAATATTATTATTGTTGGTATTTTTAGTATTATTATTACTATTATTATTATTATTATCACTATTATTATTAGTATTATTATTGTTATTAGTATTATTAGTATTATCAGTATTATTATACTTATTATTATTAGTATTACTATTATTATTCGTGTTAGTATTATTAGTATTAGTGTTATTAATATTATTATTATTATTATTATTATTATTATTATTATTATTATTATTAGTATTAGTAGTAGTAGTAGTAGTAGTATTACCATTATTATTATTAGTATTATTCCCCACATCCTGAGTGGGGTTCTTGTTTTCCCAGAACATCCTCTCCTCCTCCTCCTCATCCTCCTCCCGCTTCCTCCACCATCCCATACTGTATCATACCATACCAATACCATGCCACTCCATACCATACCTTACCATACCATACCATGCATCCACCATCCCATACCATACCATGCCTTTCCTCACACCATGTTATTTATCAGGTTTCGTGCCCCTCCCACCCCTCCAGGGAGGCCCCGCCTGAGCGAGCAGGGTATTCGCACACCATGTTATTTATCAGGTTTCGCGCCCCTCCCACCCCTCCAGGGAGGCCCCGCCTGAGCGAGCAGGGTATTCGCACACCATGTTATTTATCAGGTTTCGTGCCCCTCCCACCTCTCCAGGGAGGCCCCGCCTGAGCGAGCAGGGTATTCGCACACCATGTTATTTATCAGGTTTCGTGCCCCTCCCACCCCTCCAGGGAGGCCCCGCCTGAGCGAGCAGGGTATTCGCACACCATGTTATTTATCAGGTCTCGTGCCCCTCCCACCCCTCCAGGGAGGCCCGCCTGAGCGGACAGGGTATTCGCACACAATATTATTTATCAGGTTTCCTGCCCCTCCCACCCCTCCAGGGAGGCCCCGCCTGAGCGAGCAGGGTATTCGCACACCAGGTTTCGTGCCCCTCCCACCCCTCCAGGGAGCCCGCCTGAGCGGCAGGGTATTCGCACACCATGTTATTTATCAGGTTTCGTGCCCCTCCCACCTCCCAGGGCAGGCCCCGCCCCGCCTGAGCGAGCAGGGTATTCGCACACCATGTTATTTATCAGGTTTCGTGCCCCTCCCACCCTCCAGGGAGGCCCCGCCTGAGCGAGCAGGGTATTCGCACACCATGTTATTTATCAGGTATCCTGCCCATCCCACCCCTCCAGGGAGGCCCCGCCTGAGCGAGCAGGGTATTCGCACACCATGTTATTTATCAGGTTTCCTGCCCCACCCATCCCTCCAGGGAGGCCCCGCCTGAGCGAGCAGATATTCGCACATCATGCTATTTACCAGGTTTCGTGCCCCTCCCACCCCTCCAGGGAGGCCCCACCAGAGCGAGCAGGGTGTTCGCACACCATATTATTTATCAGGTTTCGTGCCCCTCCCACCCCTCCAGGGAGGCCCCGCCTGAGCGAGCAGGGTATTCGCACACCATGTTATTTATAAGTTTTCGTGCCTCCCACCCCTCCAGGGAGGCCCAGCCTGAGCAAGCAATGTATTCGCACACCATGTTATTTATCAGGTTTCGTGCCCCTCCCACCCCTCCAGGGAGGGAGGCCCCGCCTGAGCGAGCAGGGTATTCGCACACCATGTTATTTATCAGGTTTCGTGCCCCTCCCACCCCTCCAGGGAGGCCCCACCAGAGCGGGCAGGGTATCCGCACACCATGTTATTTATCAGGTTTCGCGCCCCTCCCAACATTCCAGGGAGGCCCCGCCAGAGCGGGCAGGGTATTCGCACACCATATGATTTATCAGGTTTCATGCCCCTCCCACCCCTCCAGGGAGGCCCCACCAGAGCGGGCAGGGCATTCGCACACCATATTATTTATCAGGTTTCGTGCCCCTCCCGCCACTCCAGGGAGGCCCCGCCAGAGCGGGCAGGGTATTCGCACGCCATATTTTATTATTAGGTTTCGTGCCGTTCCCGCCCCTCCAGGGAGGCCCCACCAGAGCGGGCAGGGTATTCGCACACCATGTTATTTATCAGGTGTCGTGCCCCTCCCACCCCTCCAGGGAGACCCCACCAGAGCGGGCAGGGTATCCGTACACCATATTATTTACCAGTTTTCGTGCCCCTCCCACCCCTCCAGGGAGGCCCCACCAGAGCGGGCAGGGTATTCGCACACCATATAATTCATCAGGTTTCGTGCCCCTCCCACCCCTCCAGGGAGGCCCACCAGAGCGCAGACAAGAAGCAATGGAACCCCGTAACATCTTTATGTGGGGAACTCCGTTAGCATAATTATTATTATTATTATTATTATTATCATTATTATTATTATTATCCTCCTCCTCCTCCTCCGAGGGATGAGAGGGGTGGTGGGGGAGCGCGGGGAGGCTCGGGAGGGCTCTCCTCCTCCGTCTCCGCCTCCGCCTCCCTTCGCGCCTCCCTCGAGCCCTCCCTCGAGCCCTCCCCGCTCCCTCCACCACCACCCCTCATCCCTCGGAGGAGGAGGAGGATGGAGGAGGAGGAGGAGGAGGAGGAGGAGGAGGAGGACGGAGGACGGAGGAGGAGGACGGAGGAGGATGGGCAGGAGGACGGAGGGAGGGAGGAGGAAGGAGGAGGAGGAGAGGAGGAACAGGAGAGGGAGAACAGGAGAGGAGGAACACAGGAGGAAACATGAGGAGGAGGAGGAGGAGGAGGAGGAGGAGGGAGGAGGAGCAGTGCCCGCGCCCGCAGTTCCGCCGCTCGGCCTTCCGGGACCAGGAGCCCAAGGTCACGCTGCTGGCACCCCCCAGCCTCGGGGGCGCCTCCGGCGAGGCCGGAGCCGTGCCGCCGCAGCAGCCCTCCGCCGTTGTCGTCGGCGAGGTCGTCGACGCCGCTGCGGCCGTCGCCGAGGTCGTCGCGGTCGTCGCGATCTTCCCCCCAATCCCGCATCTTCCCCATCCTTCGCCTCCGCCTCCTCCTCCTCCTCCTCCTCCTCCTCCTCCTCCTCCTCCTCGTATCTCTCCGACTCTTGCGATCGTCTCCCCGACTCTGGTTCCTACCTTCACAGATGCAGATATGACAACATCGTGAACAAGTGTGGTCGACACTTAGGGACGACGATAGCGACTCCTGAGGTGCCCGGCCCCCCTGCGCCGCCTTCTGAGGGCTGGTCCCGCCAGACGAACATCCCGCGCTTGCTTCGCCTCGCCTCTTCCTCCTCCTCCTCTTCCTCCTCCTCCTCCTCCTCCTCCTCCATCTCATCATCCTCATCCATAGCGGCCTCCACAGAGGAGGATGACGCTTTAGGCAGAATTAGAATTAGAATTCTCCTCATCCATCCCTCTTCCTCATATAATAACTTCCCCTTGTCGCACCCCTTGACGTGTCAGTAGGGCGGGCCAAGCGTTTTGCTTGAAACCTCTTCACCACTTATGATCGTGAAGCTTGAAAGTTGCAACGGTTTCACGGATAGAGCGCGGAATGTTTGCAAGATGTGGTTCTCGCCTCAGCGCCGCGCGCATTCGTTTCAAACATTTGCAACAGCTTCACGGATGGAGGGCGGCCGTTTTTTAAATGTGGTTCTCGCCGTAGCGCCGCGCACATTCGTTTTAAAGGTTTGCAGCAGTTTCACGGATTGAGGGAGGGTGGTTTTCAAATATTGGCTCTCGTTTTTGCGCCGTGCACATGTGTCTGAAAAGTTTGCAACAGTTTCACTGGTGAAGGGCGGCGGCTTTTGTTCAAGATTTGACTCTCGCCTGGGCTCCGCATTCATTCGTTGCGAAAGTTTGCAGCAGTTTCAATGATTCGCGTGGTCGAAGTCCCAGTAATGGTGTTCTGATTGACAGAAAGCAACAGTCATGTCGATTCGCAGTGTCGAAGTCCCAAGAGTGGTGTTTTGGCACGGTTTGGGATTGTCAGGACGCAACAGTCACGTTGACTCGCCATGCTGAAGTCCCATATTCTCAGACGTTTGTTTTCTAACGGGGCATTTCTCGCAATGCAATGAATTATTTCTGGGACTTCTGGAGAGGAAACTTGGAGGGAGGGTGTATTACAACATCGCTGATGCATCTTAGGTTTACACTGGTCCTCCTCCTCCTCCTCCTCCTCCTCGTCCTCCTCCTCGTCCTCCTCCTCCTCGTCCTCCTCCTCCTCCTCCCTCCTCCTCCTCTCCACCCTCCTTCCGTCCCTTCCCTCCTCCCCTCCGAAAATCGGCCGCTTCCCGAGGCTGGAGGGTGCCGCTTCCTGTTCCAGAGGCTCGCATGCTCGAGGCTCAGGCACGCGCGCGGACGTTCCAGGCATGTCCGAGCGGTCCAAGCGTCGTGCGAGGCTGCCGAAGAAGCACTACAGTCGGCCCAGATTAGCAGGTCGACCCTGCCAAGTCAAGGGTACCCTTGTGTCCTGCGTCTCGCGACCCATGCTTCCTACATTCCTGTGGCAGTGTGGCCCTCGGAAGGGTCTCGTGTCCTCTCGCGTGTCCTGCCCAATCGAGCCCGACTGCCATTTCTCCCACCTCCCCGCCCCCCCCGCGGCAGCAGCACGAGCAGGAGGAATCGCCGGGAGGAGGGGGGCGCCCGGCCTCCCGGCGCTCCTGGGACGGGACCGCAGGCCATCGCGGTGAGCATCTTCGTCAACGCGGCGCCGCGCGCGCGCGCGCTGCCGCCCCGCCGAGGGGCCGGGAGGGCGGGGCGACTGGCCAGCCTCGGGGCCCGAGGGGCGAGGGTCGAAGCAGACGGGGGTCAGCGAGAGCGCCGGATCTTGCAGGATCCTGCTCCTCCTCCTCTTCTCCTCCTCCTCCTCCTCCTCCTCCTCCTCCTGGGGCCAGGGGTGCCCTGACCCCGGCTTGCGTCTTGCGTGCAGGAGCCTGCGGGATCCTGCAGGGCCTGACTGGCCCGGGCCTGCATCGGGCCAGGCAGGGCCAGCGCGTCCCCGACAGCCCTTTCTGCCAGCCAGCAGGACAAGACGGGTCCGGTGGGGAGAGGGAGGAGGCTCAAAGAGCAAGGCTCGAGCAACGTTCAGGGAGGGGGGCAGGCTCGAAGCTTCGGGGTCGAAGTTCGAGGTTTTCGGGCGATTTCGGCGGTTTTCCAGCCTCGGGGTGCCTTCCAGCGACTGCGCCTCGCCGAGGGCGTGCCAGGAGTGCAAGAGTCATCCCGAACGGCCAGCGGAGAGCCGAGTTACTGCCCGAAAACCACCCGGATCCACGAGCCCGGTAGGGAGCGTAAGTCCAGCAGGATTCCGACGTCCGCTGGACGTGAAGCCGTAAACGATGAAGAGGATGAAGGAGAAGCCCTTGCAGTGCACGACCGCTGCGTTGAACCCATCCAGCGCGGGTGACCCTGGCGCGCGGAGCGCCGTGGTCGTGAGCGCCTCCAATCTGATCCAATCTGGTTATTTGGAGGTGACCACGAGCTAGCAGCCACTCGCGGCCCTGGTTGGCCCGATGTTGCATATCGGTGGAGCGGTGCTTCCCTGAGCACCTGGCAGGATTGGGAAGTAGACGGAGTGCGTGGCTGCGAGCACGAGAATCCCATTGTTGTATATGCGACTCGGGCACGTGAGTCTCGACAACCCCCAATATCTCATGCTCTAGTGCACGCTCGGCGAGATGACTCCATGATCTGTCACTCCTGGCGGTGACGTTGCTGAAAGAGATCTTGCGAGAAGAGGCGCCCTGATCCTCTGGCAAGATTGGCGGCAAAGCTGGCGCCTGGCCGCGCGCCGCGCCCGACCGTGCGGCCGGCGCCGCACCGGGCGCAAGCCCTCGGGCCGGAGGCCTGCCGCCTTCGCTGCCCCTGCCGCCCCCGACCTGCGCCGCGCCTCTGGCCGCCGCCCGGCGCCTCGCGGCCGAGGGGCGTGCGGCCTCCTCGGCGGTCCGCTCCTCGTGGGCGGCCCGCTCCTCCTCGGCATCGCTCGGACGTGTGCATTTTTTCCTTCGGCGAGGACCATCGAGGAGCATCCTCGATCATTTGGCAACAAAAAAAACACGCACGAAACCGAACAAAAACACAGGGAATGGACGTCCAAGCGATGGCGAGCCTCCCCCGACGGGGGCGGGGCTGCGCCCTGCCCAGGCGGCCGCCGAGGCGCTGGCCGCTGCAGGCGCCTCAGAGGCCGCGGGCGCGGCCTCGGCTGGCCGTGCCCGGGCCGCCGCCGCCTCCGCCTGCGGCAGCGGCCCCGCCTTCGGCGCGCGCCTCTCCTCGCCGGCCGGGCGCGCGGCGGTGTCCCGCTTGACCGTGGATGCTTTGTCAAGTTGCTTCGCCCGGACCTCCGCGTTCTCGGCAGTGAGCACAGCTCGACTAGACGCAAGAGTGACCTTTCGCCGGAGTGACCTTTGGCGCGGGCACAGATGGATCCCCAGATGGCTGAAAACGAGGCAGTAGCAGCGTCTTGCGCGCCCAGGTTTGGGTCCCCCCGCGGCCCCCAAAAAGTCGCGCACCAAAGGTCACTCTTACCCAGGGTCACTCTTGCGTGTAGCCGAATAGCTTGCATCTTCTCGAGCTCCGCCTCGACGACGCGGAGCTGCTGCTTCCCGGCCTCCTCGACCCCGACCTGCTCCAGGTCGTCGAAGAGGTTCGTGTCCCACGGCACGGTGAAGGCGGGGGTCGGCCCCCCGGCTGCTGGCGCGTCGGACGGGTTGATGCCTGCCGCCCGCGCCAAAGCCTGAGCCGCCTGCCGTTTGCCTATCCCGGCCTCGGCGAGTGCCACAGCGGCTGTTTGCTCCTTCTCGACCGCGGTCTGGAGGAAGGATCGCAGCCGCTGCACGTTGGCCACCGCCTGATCGTGCTTGCAGTTGCTGTCGCGCCAGATGCCCTCTGCCCGCGAGACCATGGCCGCCTCCGAAGGGGGAGCCGTCGCGGGCTTGGTCATGCTGGCCGTCAGTTGGTCCAACTGCTGCTGAAGCGCCACCTTCACCTTGGGGTCGGAGCTGGCTGCCAGCGCCGCCCGAAGGTGATCAGCAACGGTGCTGGGGCTCTGCTGGGGGCCCGTGGAAGCGATCCTCCAGGGTGCTGGGGATGAGGAACGGCCCCGAGCCGAAGATGAGCGGTCCTCGAACGAAACCTTCGTGCCCACGATACATGCGAATCCGCTCACCGCATAGACAAAGCCAGCCACGTTCCGAAAGACGATCGTTCCATTCGCACCTTTGGCAGACTGAGCAGCGGCTCCACAGCCGCTGCGAGGAAGAAGAACGTGACATGATTCTCCAGCTTTGGTTACCGAGTCATTCGAAAGGGAATGTAAACGGTATGCCTCAAGCGCCCCGTGCAGGCACCAGAGATTGGCGTGAGGTAGGGTGTCAGAAAGGTAATGCCCTAGACAACCCCGCAAGCCCCGACGGGGCCTTCACCTCAAGCCAGTGTGGCTTGAGCACAGGGAAATGGGGAGGAGGAGGTGGAGGAGGAGGAGGAGGAGGGAAAGGAGAAGGACATGGTCGACGACTAGAACACAAAACGCAGGATGTGGAGACACCGCGAGACGAAGCGCGCAAATAGAAGCATGAGGAGAGAGAGAGAGAGAGAGAGAAATGGAAAGTATGATTAGGGGCGCAAGGGGAAGTTGTACCAACACTGGAGGACCAGATGAGGACGAGGTGGCGAAGGAGGGGTAAGTGGAAAACGAATGTGATTCAGGACGTGGGGGGGGACGACGGGGACGACGAGGAGCAGCAGCAGGAGCAGCAGCAGCAGCAGCAGCTGTGGTGACGGGATCACCAGCAGCAACATGAGGAAGAGGAGGAGGAGGAGGAGGAGGAGGAGGAGGACGACGAGGTCGAGGACGAGGAGGGAGTAGGGGAAGAGCGGGCGGAGAAGAATAACATTGCATCAACAGCCGCGTGAGGTCTTTTGTTTCCCCAGGCAACGTGATGCGCCAGAGCACGGTAATTTGTCATCTCAAGCGGCTTAGGTCGACGAAGACACAGCGGCATGCACATCAGATGTTTGGAGGTCCGTGCCGATTTCTTGGATTTGCGCTGGGCCTCCTGGGCGGCGTCGCCCAGGGAAGGGGTCAGCGCCGATCCCAAGACATGCGCGCGGACATCCAAAGGTGAATGCTCACATCTGCGCCGCTCATCGATGTCTCCTCTTTTCTGTGTCCAGGAGCGACAGAAGGACGTACACGTACATGATTCCACGCTGGTCTCGAGAGCACGCATTGCGCAAATGTTCGTGTCACGCTGCGGGTCTCGCGGATCGAGGGGCCGTGCTCACGTACATAGTTGGGCGCGTTCGTCCTTTGTGGGCTCCCTATGTGTACGGTCCTCATCCCTCATCCCCCTCCTCCTCCTCCTCCTCCTCCTCCTCCTCCTCCTCCTCCTCCTCCTCCTCCTCCTCCTCCTCCTCCTCCTCCTCCTCCTCCTCCTCCCTCCCCCTCCTCCTCTTCCTCCTCCCCCTCCTCCTCCTCCTCCTCCTCCTCCTCCTCCTCCTCCTCCTACTCCCTCCCCCCCCCTCCTCCTCCTCCTCCTCCTCCTCCCTCCTCCTCCTCCTCCTCCTCCTCCTCGTGGGCTCCCTATGTGTGCGGGCCGCGGGCAGGCGATCCCGATGTACAGCGCCGCCCTACTCACGGAGTGCGGCCAGATGGACGCCCGCGCGCGGGCGCTGGTGCTGCTGGTGAGGCGCTGGGCCAAGGAACGGGCCGCCCAGGAGCAGGAGGAGGAGGAGGAGGAGGAGGAGGAGGAGGACGAGGACGAGGACGAGGACGAGGAGGAGAAGAAGGAACCCTGCCTGTTGTTCGCACACGCATTCTAGAGTCCTGCCTTCAGTGGGCGTTCACACGCAACCGCCAGTATCGCTGTCGTCTGGGCAACGCCACATGGAGGCGGGGGCGGGGGAGGGGCAGAAGGAGGAAGGAGGAGAAGGAGGAATGTGGAAAAGGAGGAGGAGGCGGAGTAGGAGAAGGAGGGAGCAGGGGCAGGAGGAAGAGGAGGAGGAGGAGGAGGAAGAGGAGGAGCAGGAGGAGGAGGAGGAAGAGGAGGAGGAAGAGGAGGGAGGATGACGATGTAGATGAGGACGCGGTGATGAAAGAGGAGAAGGAAGAGAATGATGATGGCGACGTGGTGGAGGAGGAGGAGGAGGAGGAGGAGGAGGAGGAGGAGGAAGCGGACGGCGAGGACCGTGGCGTCTGCCACGCCTCGAAGGGGCACCTGTCGCCCTACCAGTGGACGCTGCCGCCCCTGCGCCGCCGCCGCACTGCCGCCGCCGCCGCTCCGCGCCCGCGCCTCCCCGCCGCTCTGCGCCGCCGCTTCCGCGCCGCGCCGCCGCCTCCGCGCTGCCGGCCGCCTTCTACCGCAGCCGCCGCCCCGCCCCGTGGCCGCCGCAGCGATGCTGGCCTCTTCGAGGCGCCAGTTCTCTGAGAAAGCACCCAGCGAGATCCGACGAGGGTGTTTGTCCTCTGGGTGCGGGCCCCTCCAGAACTGCTGGAGAGCAGCAGGCAGTTCGCTGAGCCAAACGGCGGGGCCCGGGGCGCGGCAAGCGCCACCCTGATGTGAAAACGCCGACCCCTCCTCCCCCAGATTCCCCTGCTTCTGGCCGCCGGCGCCACCGCTCCTGGTCGCCGCCGCCGCACCGCCGCTCCAGGCCGCACCCGTCGCTTGTCTTCGCCAGCTTCCGCCGCCGTGACCGTCGTCGCGGCCGCCGCCGCCGCCGCCGCCGCCGTTTGCGTGGCGTCCTCCGCTGGTAGCAGCCGCCGCCGCCGCCGCCCCTCCAAGGCGGTGCTCCGCCGTGCCTCCTGCCTCGGAGCTCCTCGCTCGCTCGGATCTCCTGTGACCGCAGGAGCATCAGCGGCGCCGATGCGGCGCCGCCCCCCCCCCCCCTTTGCGCCTCTCTGGCCCCCCCGCCCCGCCCTGCCTCCCTCCCGCTGCCCCTCCGGCCCTCCTCCCCTCGCCCCTCGCCTCCCCCCGCCCCTCGCGTCCCCATCGCCCCTCCCTCGGCCTCGCCCCTCGCCTCCGCCCGCCCCTCGCTCCCCCCGCGCCCCTCGCCCCGCGCCTCGCCCTCGCCCGTCCTGCCCCCCCCCCGGGGCCCGCGCGGACGATCGGGCTCCGCACGGGCTCGAGGGGCGATGGAGGATGGAGGGGTCGATCTCGGACCGAGGGGTCCAGACTCGAGGGATCGATCGAGGATCGATGGATCGATCGAGGAAGGATCGGAAGGGTCGATGCGCCCGAGGGTCCGCGGAGGATGCTGGCTGCTGCTTCCCGAGGGGGAGCGGCGGCCCGAGGCTGCGTGCCGGGAGGCCGCACTCGGCGCCCGAGGGGCCCCCGTGCCGCGCAATGGCCCCGGCGGGGTCGCCCGGGGGTCGCTAGAGGTGGACAGCCGGGGACGCAGGAGGGGTGCAAAGGACTGCGGGTCCCTCCTCCTCCTCCTCCTCCTCCTCCTCCTCCTCCTCCTCCTCCTCCTCCTCCTCCTCCTCCTCCCTCATCCTCCCTCCTCCCTCCTCCCCCAGGGAGGGGTGCGTACGGTGGGGCCCATGCCAAGAAGCAGCCTGCTTGCCTCCAGGGTGCCCTGGGCTTCTTCCGGTTTCTCAGGAGCGCAAGAAGGACGTGCACGTGCATGAATCCACGCTGGTTTCGAGAGGTCGCATTGCGCGAGTGTTCGTATCACGCGGCAGGTCTCGCGGGTCACGGGGCCGTGTTCATGTACATAGCTGTTCGCGTACGTCCTTTGTGGGCTCCCTAGTTTCGAGGGTTTTGCCATGGAACGCCTGACGTTGCCGGGGACGCAGGAGAAGGTCAAAGGGTTGTGGGGGAAGGGTTATGTCGGGCATGCCACTCTACAGTACAGGGGGAACATTCAAACTTAGTCAAAAATTAGTCTTGGGACGACTGCTCGATTTGTTTTGCGTATGTTTGAGCATTCGTTTGACTATCTTCATTCTTCGTCCAACTCCCCCTGTAGGGGGACACGCCCGGCCTAAGGGAACGGTACGGGGGGTTTTGAGGGTGGACGGGCGGGGGGGGAAGGCGTCAATCGCCGGCCGCGGAGGGGGGGGGGGTGCCTCCTCCCCGCGGGCGGGGGTTCGGGCAGGACGAGGAGTCGATGCAGCGGAGGCCCATGCCGAGAAGCCTCCTGCCCGCCTCCAGGGTGCCCTGGCTTTCCTGGGTTTCGAGGGTTTTGCCGTGGAATGCGTTCGACACGATGGCGTTGTTTCCCCAATATGAGGGTAGTATTGCCGACCTTCTGTCTTTTCCCATCCTGCACGAGCATCATGAATCATGACCAGCTTCGGCGAGCTGTCTGAGTTCACACCCTTTGCGCGTTCTGCTTGGGACGCAAGATCCTGAAGGTGTGGCTGGGGCACTTCGTTCGCCGAGGCACCAGAACCTCCTTGCTCCAAGTCTCCCAGGTCTGGAAAACAAGTAGACATCCTGGGGTCTCAGGGTTGGGTTTCCTCTGCAAGCTTTCTTGTGGAAGGGCCCCATACCGTACGACGCTGGTATCGTTGCGTGCGGTAACGTTCAGCGGCACCAGGGCCGCCCTGGGTGGCCCGGGGCCGTTTGCGCCGACATTGGCCCGTACTCTTATCCGGAGGGAAAAAACGCACAGACACAATTAATCGTCGATTCTCCAGAGAATATGGGAAGTGGGGGGGAAGACAAAAACCCAGAAAGTATGGGAAAGTATGCCGAATCTTTTTATTTGTGTGTATTTATTTGTGTGTCCCAGGGCCCCTTCACCTTAGGTTTCTTAGTAAGCCCGGGGGGGTCCCCCCCCGACGGGGGTCAACCTCGCCTCGTCGGCGCGACGGACGCGACGGGGGCCGGAGCGCCTTCGGCGCGCGGAGGTTGCCCGCGTCGGGGGTCGATGCGGGGCTGTCGGTGGGGGCGGCGCCCCCCCCCCCGACGCTGCTCAAGAAGCTCGGAGCAAGCTTCCCGCGTGGCGTTGCGCGTCAGCGCCCTCGCTTCCCGCGCAGCGTGCCGCGCGGGCGGCCCCGCGTAAGCCACCGCGTAGGGGCGCTGTGGTCGTCTCGCGCAGGAGGCCCGTTGTCGAGATCGCCGCCCGCCGGATGTCAGGAGCGAAGCCGTGAGGCCCCGGCATCTCGGTTTTGTGTCGGGCCGGGCGTCTTCGCTTCTTCTCGGGCCCCGGGGCCCTCACGGAGGGTTTCTCCGAAGGGCTTCGGCGACCCCTCCTCTTTCTCCTCCTCCTCCTCCTCCTCCTCCTCCTCCTCCTTCTTCCCCTCCTCCTCTCCTCCTACTCCCCCTCCTCCTCCCCCTCCTCCTCCTCCTCCTACTTCTCCTCCTCCGCCTCCTCCTCCTGGAGTCGCATACGGCCCCGGGGCCCTCACGGATCGATCCGGCTCGAGAAGTGGCGCAGAGAGATGGGCGTAATGTGTTACGATGTTGCCGTTGTTTCGCTGCGTCGGATCTCCGGGCCGAAGGACGTACACAGTACATGAACTCACGTGGGCTTCGAAAGCACACCTGGCACGAGGGGTTCAGAGCATTCTTAATTTTTCTAGGCCTCCTAGATGGGGTCGGAGTAGCTGGGGTCGGAGGATCGCGCCGCATCGGCGATGCATCGGCGATGCGGCTCGATGTGGAACCCGATTTTCTCTACGCTGGCGTCGCCGATGCATCGCTGATGCATCGCCGATGCGTCGCCGATGCATCGCCGATGCATCGCCGATGCATCGCCGATGTATCGCCGATGCTTCGCCGATGCGGCGCAATCCTCCGACCCCATCTGCTCGGACCCCATCTGGGAGGCCTCCGCACGAGGGTTCAGAACGTGCTTGACTCTGAAGGGCAGGGCTGGACCCTCACGGTGTTTCTGGTGGTTTCGTGGGCCGTTCTCGTTTCGGCGTCGTTTTGCGGTGGAGGCGGATTGAAGACAGAACGATCGAAAACGAAAACAGAACGAAAACGGAAAACACCGTTTAGGTTCAGCCTTGTTGGGGGGGTCCTCTCGTGCTCTTGACGAGTTGGCTTTCCGCCCGGGGACGTGGTGCGTTGCGGGCGGCCCCCCGGCGCCTCGGCGAAGGGGCCCGCGTGCTCGATCCACGTTCTCATGCCGCCCACCGGACCACCCCAGCCCTACCCGAAGGCCCCGATTGGCCCTCCGTTCCGAGCCCTGGCTTCGCTCGGACGTGTGCATTTGTTTTTCCTCGGCAAGAACCGTCGAGGACCATCCTGGACCATCGAGCAAAACAAAACACGCACGAAACCGAAAAATGCACGGGAAATGGACGTCTGAGCGATGGCCAGGAGTGGCGGGGGTGGTCGGGCAACACTGAACAAAACACATTTGAAGCCTGTGCCCCCCCCAACCCGACAGGGCGGGGCTGCCCTTCCTCCGGGAGGGGCGGCGCGGGGGGCGCGAGGGGTATGGCGCACCGCAGGGCGCGAGGGCCCAGGGGGGCCACATCCAGGCGATCGCAAACATGGATCAAGGGGGCCCTCCTCCTGCTCCTCCTCCTCCTCGTCCTTCTCCTCCTCCTCCTCCCCCTCCTCCTCCTCCTCCTCCTCCTCCTCCTCCTCCTCGTCCTCCTCGTTTTCCTCCTCCTCCTCCTCGTTTTCCTCCTCTTTCCTCCTCCTCCTCCTCTTTCCTCCTCCTCCTCCTCCTCCTCCTCCTCCTCCTCCTCCTCCGTGGATTGGCGACGGGTCCCGTTTCCATGGGGGATCGCTGATTTCCGCAACCGAGCGAGGCGATACCGCCCGCGTTTTGGGGAGGGCACTTCCCCCGATCCATGGATTTGGCGACCGCGCGCCAAATCCGTGGATCGCTAAGCCATGTTTGCGCGCCCCCGACACACGCGAACCCTACCCCATACCCCCCACGATTCCTGAGGGGGAGGATGGGGTTCACTTCGCTCGGGAGCTCCCCCTCAGAAATCCTTCCCCTCCCCCCTCGGGAGCATGTGAACCCCACCCTCCCCCTCAGAAGTCGTGGGGGGTAGGGGGCAGGGTTCGCATGTGGCCCCCTTACGTGCGCGAAGCTCGGTGGCCGAGAGTCGCCTTCTCTGGGGGAACGAGCAATGACATCGACATGAAAACTCGGAGGTCCGCGCGGATTTCTCGGATCGGCGCTGGACCGCCCTGGCGGCGCCTCCAGCGCCGCCCCTGGCGCGCTCCGCGCGCCAGGGAGGGGGGTCCAGCGCGGATCCAGGAAATCCGCGCGGACCTCCGAGGTATTATGTTTATGCCATTTTTCGTGCCCCTATGCTTGCTCTTTCCGGTGCCCGCCCCCACTCAAAGCTGGACGACTCGATTCGACCCTCTATGTATCGAAGGCACTGGCGGGATCCCTCGGAGGACTGATGCCCGCTGTCGATGCAGGCGCTCTTATCTGACGGACATCGCCTTCTCACGATTGCAGTCTGTGCATCTCTCATCGCTGCCTGGAGGAGCCTCCTCACGATCTACTTCTTGCAGGTTGGTGTTGAGGAGGCCCCCATCGCTGCTTTCGGCCGGTGCTCGAGCCAAAGCATCCCGAAGTAGTGACACAAGAGCAGTAGCACGAAGAAGCAGTCGTATGTAATGTGTGAGCAGTTCTGATGATTGAGGACAACACGTAAGATTAAGCATGAGAGTACGAGTGGGAGCAGTGGTACCAGCAAGGAGTCGACGAAATACTTATCCAGGGACGTACCCCATCCAGTTGCAACGTTCGGCAGCATCTTGGGGCCTGATATTCCTCGTGAGTTGTGAAGGGCCTTACTCAGCTGGACCTTCGGGGGCTGACACAGTGGCGGTAGTCTCGCCTGGCAACCTTCGCGGAAGCGAGTCTCATTGGGATCTCTGCAACATGTTGCCTCTTTTGTCCTCCTCCTCATTGCCCGCCATGTGGGTAGCACCGAATTGAGAAAGGTCGTATCTGGGTCCACATGGGACTGCCTTCCGCTGGACCCCGATCATAATTTCGAGCCTCGAATTACGGGCTACGAGTTTCCTCACCCCGTCCCTTCCCCGTCGTGGTCGTCGTCGTCGTCGTCGTCGTTTTCCTCCTCCTCCTTCTCCTCCCTCTCTGGTGTGACACCAGAGAGGGAGGAGAAGGAGGAGAAGGAGGAGGAGGAGGAGGAGGAGGAGGAGGAGGAGAGGAGGAGGAGGGAGGAGGAAGACAAGGAGGAGGGAAAATTGTTGGTGGAGGAGGAGGAAGAGGAGGATAGACCCGTGAAGGAGGAGGAGGAGGAGGAGGAGGAGAAGGAGGAGTGACACTGTCACTCCTCCTCCTCCTCCTCCTCCTCCTCCTCCTCCTCCTCCCTCCTCCTCTCCTCTTCTCCTTCTCCTCCTCCTCCTCCTCCTCCTCCTTCTCCTCCTCCTCCTTCTCCTCCTCCTCCTCCTCTTCCTCCTCCCTCTCCTCAGTGGTGGTCGTCGTCCTCCTCTTTCTCCTCCTCCTCCCTCTCTGGTGTGCGCTGCAACTGCAGCACCAGGCAGACGCGGAGAATGGAGGGGGTTCTTCGGGGAACATTGAGCTGGACCCCCATCAGGGAAACAGGATATCACAGAATTGCACGTTGGGTCCCGCCCCATCTGGCCAAGGGTAGGGCTGAAACGGAGGAGGAGCAGGTGCCTCTTCTAGTGGTGGCTCATCTTAGCGACGTTCTTTTGTACTCCTCCTCCTCCTCGTCCGCGGCCTCCTCCTCCTCCTCCTCTTCCTCCTCCTCCTCCTCCTCCTCCTCCTCTCTCGTTTTCTTCCTCCTCCCTTGTCCTCCAGACATTCGGGGAAGGCGTTGGGCTCTCGGCGCGGTCCTCCTGAATCTGGAGGTGCCTGTCACGAAGCAATTCTCCACGTTTGTGATCGGCGCCTCGGTCCGTTCTCTGGCATATTTGGCGTGCGTGGATCGTTGGGCGAGCATGCCCTCGGCCACCGGGCGCGGGGCAGAATGTCCGAGGAGGGAATTTATACATGTCCACCGCCTGGAGGGTCAATCCTCGGGGACCTCGGCAGGCGGTGGATATGGATATATTCGGGCCCCCGGTGGCCAAGATTATCCATATCCACCGCCCGCTGGGGCACCAGGACGTCGGTTCCCAGGCGGTGGATATGGATAAATCCCCGCCTCGCAGAATGGCAGCACGCGCTCGAAGCTCTCCGCGGCGCCCCTCGTCACTGCACCCGGCAGGTCACGACACGGTGGTGGACCAGCTGCCCGCACGCGCCCTCGCCCGATCTTGGCAGTCCAGATCAGTCAAACGATGCTCATACAAGGGAGACGAGCGGACGATGCAAGGCAGTGCCCTGGAGGCAGCCTGAGAGGCAGCCCAAAAGGCAGCCAAGAAGGCAGCCGAGAGGCAGCCAGTGGCAGCCAATCAGGCTGCCAAGAGGCAGCCCAGAAGGCAGCCAAGACAGCGCCGAGAGAAAGCCAAGAGGGTAGCCAAGTAGGCAACCAAGAGGCAGCCCAGAAGGCAGCCAAGAGGCAGCCAGAAGGCACTCAAGAGACAGCCAAGAATGCAGCTAGAGAGGCAGCCTAGAAGGCAGCCAAGGTTGTCGAAGACTGCCGCGGCTGGATCACGAGTGCTTGCAAACGCGGCGTCGTCGCCGAAACCCTCGTCCCACGCTGTTTCGTCCGAGCGCGCAAGATCGCGAGCGCAGGGGTGGCCCCAACAACCGTTTCCACAGCTGCGGCCCTTGCCATGGCGTGTGGGTGCCACAGCACCAGCCCCGTGTTGTCGAACAGCCCCTCTGTCGCCCAGTACGGCTCCGGGGTGTCTCCGCAGTAAAACGTCTTCGCTCTGAATTCGGCCCGCAGGGGCTCCGGGTCCGCCGACTCGGGTTCCCCCATGTGTCGGAACAGCTCGGGGTCCCACGCGATGATGACGAGCGCCACAGTTTTGGTCACGACGGCATACCACACACTTTTCTTGGTGGCCGCCCTCGCGATCACCATCACGTTGAACACCAAGGAGATGGTGGACGGAGCTTTGTCGCCGTCTGCTGTCCCAGTGAGCCTTTTGCTCCACTCTGGTCAATCCCCAACGTAGCTTACCCCAGGAGAGCTCCTGGTCCGCTGCTTTTTTCGACGGTGCCCACGCATGTCCCCGCGACTGCGATTCCCGCGGTACCCCCGCATCTCCCTGCGACTGCGGGTCCGACGGCGTTCCCGCGCTGCCCCGCGACGGCGGTTCCGACAGCGGCGGGCTTTCCGTGGTAGGCGATCTCTTCCTCTTCGCGGAGGCGACCGCATCGGCGGTTTTCACTTGGAGCGGCTTTCTCCCGGGCGGCGCGCGGGGGCGCCGCGAGGCCGAGGGCGCGCTGCTCCCAGCGGCGCCGCGCGAGGCACCTGGCTCGCTGGCGCTGCGCAGCGACACCTGCTGGCGCCCCCGAGCTCTCTGAGGCCGCTCGCCCGACCGCGCTTCGCGGGGAAGCGCGCTGAGCGGCGGCGGCGGCGGCCGCCGCCGCCGCACCGAGGCAGGCGACTCCGAGGGCGTCTCGCGCAGCGGTCGCCCGGGGCTCCCGCTGCTGCGGACCTCCCCAGACGCCAGGCACGACTGCTCGGACTCCGCCGCTGGCAGCCCGCGCGGCGGTTCCCCGACGGCGCCGCCGACGGCGCCGCTGCCGGCGCCGCCGGCCCCTCCTGCCACTGGCGCTGCAGCTCGGCAGGCTTGCGGTCGAGCTCGGCCGCCAGGCCTGGCTCCATCGCGCCGCCGCGCGCGGCCCCCGCCCGACGGGGGAAACGGCTGGCGGCCTGGGCGAGGGAGGAAGACGAGGGCGAGGGCGAGGGCGAGAATGAGGGCGAAGAGGAAGGCGAACAGGAGGAGGGAGAGGACGAGGAGGAAGAGAATGGCGGCGAGCTCGGGCGAGAAGGAAAGGAGGAGGAAGGGCTTTCGGCGGGGGCGGCAGGGCAGAAGCGGAGGAGGAGGAATCACGAAAATCCGCAACTGCAGCCAACGGAGGGGACTGCGACGAGGACGACGGGACAGAACTCGGCGCACGGAGGGGGCTGCGGCCAACGGAGAGGAAAGCGGCGAGAAGGAAAGGCGGAGGGAGGGATTGCAACGAATACGACGGGGACGGAGCGACGACGACGACGGACAATTGCGGAATCACCATTTTGCTTGTCTCCGCAATTGCGGCCACGCTAATATAAGCAGTCCTCAAGCGGAAGTGATGCGCGCCAGAAGCATCTAATGACAGCGGTCATTCGCGGGAACGCCGCAACGGCGGCCAAGCAATTGCAGCGCCGCAACTGCGGTTGGAAGGCAACGCCGCAATTGCAGCCGAAGGCGCGTACAGTAAGTCAAAGAAGAGAGGCGTCACGCGATTGGTCGCCGCAACTGCGGTTACACGGCTGCGTCCGCCGCGGCTGCAGCCCGTAATTGCGGCATCAAGGCTGCGCGGACCACCGCAGTTGCATCCCGGCCCCTTTTGGGCGCGTCGAACCGCCCTGGAAACGCATGGGCGTGCAGGTTCTTGCAATACTTGAACGTGCCCTTGCCGTCGCTCTTGCCGAGGCCTGCCATCGGGTGCCTGCACGGGGGGCCAGTGCGGCCCCGCCTCATACGCGTTGAACTGAGGCGTGTTCCATGATGGGTCCACGCGAATGCTCGCGCCGTCGTCGCGGGTGAGGGCGAAATCCCACGCGGGCAAAGGGATTCTCTGTGTGTCCACCCCTTTGCAGTGCTTCACGTGGCCGACACCGCCTGGGCAAGGGCGGCGCTCGCAGCGGACCATCCCGCCGCCGATGGCGATCCTGCTCTTGCCCTGCCACCCTCCGGCCAGAATCCCGCATCGCTCCACGCAGTGCCCGGGGACTCTGCTTGGAACGGTGCGCTTCGCTCAAAGCCGTGCCCCGGCACCGTGTCGGCGAACTCCCCGTAAAATTTTACAAAGGCCATAGGACTGCCGCGCCCACGCTTGCGCCAACCCAGCCCCGCCCGCGGGGGGCCCAAGGACACGCAAAGAAATGCCCCCAGATAACGAGATTCCCAACATGTTCCTATGTTTTCTTAGTTTTGGTCTTCCCCCCCCTTCCCATAGTTTCCCCACCTTTTCCTGGGCATCGACGATCCACTGTGTCTGCGTGTTGTCTCCCCTCCCGGCCCACCCGCGGGGGGCGCGACGGCGACCGCGCTCCGCGCGCCGCGGTCCGGGCCGGAGCGGTTGCCCTGCTCCCCCCCCGGCCGGGGCGGCGCGGGTGCGCGGAGGGCGCCGCGCGCCGCGCCGCGGGCCGCGGGCCGCGGGGCGGCGCGAGGGGGGGTGGCCCAGGCCGGTGTTCCGTCGGGCCTGTCCCTCTCTTCTATCGCAGGCCTAGAGGTTGACACCAACACCAAGATCGGCGGCGTTCCTCCACCGAGGGAAGAGACAGTCCCGATCTCGGTGCTGGTGGTAATATGCTGGCTTCCAAGGTGGCCGGAATATGACCACCAACACCGAATTCTAGGATCGTCTCCACCCTGTGGAGGCAGCCCCGTGTCTTGGTGTTGGTGCCCATTTCCAGGCCTCCAAATCTGCAGGGGGGACATTCAAAAGTATTAAGGAAATAGTCTGGGGACTTTTTGTGCTACTATCTTTGAGCAGTCTGGGGGGCATGTTGCGGGTATCTTGCATTTTTCGCTCAAGAATCGGACCTGTCCCTCTACAGGGGGGAAGTTCAAAAGTAGCAAGAAAATAATTAGTCTGGGGACTTTTTGTGCTACTATCTTTGAGCAGTCTGGGGGGCATCTTGCGGGTATCTTTAATTTGTCGCTCAAAAATCGGACCTGTCCCTCAACAGGGGGGATGTTCAAAAATAGCCAGAAAATAGTCAGGGGACTTTTTGCTTTACTATTGTTGAGCAGTTTGTGGGGCGTTTTGCGGGTATGTTTTATGGTTCGTTCAAACATCGGACTTGTCCCTCTACAGGGGGGATGTTCAAAAGCAGCCAGAAAATAGTCTGGTTATTTTTTGTTATTCATATGAAAAGAACTAGGTTTGAGCATTCGGGTGGTATTTGTTGGGGTATGTTTTTCCCAACCCTCCTTGGTTGGGTACTCGTTTTGAATCGAGCGGTGTGGTCGCGTCCCTCCTCCTCCTTCTCCTCCCGCCTCCCGCCTCCTCCTGCCCTCTCTTCGCCGACGATGGGGGCTGCGATCTGCGAGGCTGTCGCCACTTTCGAGGGCTGCTGGTGGGTCCTGCGGAGTGAGGCACCGCGCGGATCTGAGCGAGACCGCGCCGTCCCTGGGGGGCTGCGATCTGCGAAATTGTTGCCACTTTCGAGGGCTGCTGGTGGGTTCTGCGGAGTGAGGCACCGCGCGGATCTGAGCGAGACCTCGCCGTCCCTGGGGTGGCTGCGATCGGCAAAACTGTCGTCATTTTCGAGGGCTGCTGGTGGGTCCTGCGGAGTGAGGCGCCGCGCGGATCTGAGCGAGACCTCGCCGTCCCTGGGGGGCTGCGATCTGCGAAACTGTCGCCACTTTCGAGGGCTGCTGGTGGGTCTTGCGGAGTGAGGCACCGCGCGGATCTGAGCGGGACCTCGCCCTCCCTGAGGGGCTGCGATCTGCGAAACTGTCGCCACTTTCGAGGCCAGCTGGTGGGTCCTGCGGAGTGAGGCACCGCGCGGATCTGAGCGAGACCTCGCCGTCCCTGAGGGGCTGCGATCTGCGAGGCTGTCGTCATTTTCGAGGGCTGCTGGTGGGTCCTGCGGAGTGAGGCACCGTGCGGATCTGAGCGAGAGCTCGCCGTCCCTGGGGGGGTGCGATCGGCGAAACTGTCGCCGCTTTCGACGGCTGCTGGTTGGTCCAGCGGAGTGAGGCACCGCGCGGATCTGAGCGGTAGCTCGCCGTCCTTGGGGGGCTGCGATCGGCGAAACTGTCGCCGCTTTCGAAGGTTGCTGGTGGGTCCTGCGGAGTGAGGCACCGCGGGGATCTGAGCGAGACCTCGCCGTCCCTGGGGGGCTGCGATCTGCGAAGCTGTTGCCACTTTCGAAGGCTGCTGTGGGTTCTGCGGAGTGAGGCACCGCGCTGATCTGAGCGAGACTTCGCCGTCCCTGGGGGGTTGCGATCGGCGAAACTGTCGCCGCTTTCGACGGTTGCTGGTGGGTCCTGCGGAGTGAGGCACCGCGGGGATCTGAGCGAGACCTCGCCGTCCCTGGGGGGCTGCGATCTGCGAAGCTGTTGCCACTTTCGAAGGCTGCTGTGGGTTCTGCGGAGTGAGGCACCGCGCTGATCTGAGCGGGACCTCGCCGACCTTGGGGGGCTGCGATCTGCGAAACTGTCGTCATGTTCGAGGGCTGCTGGTGGGTCCTGCGGAGTGAGCCACCGCGCATATCTGAGCGAGACCACGCCGTCCCTGGGGGGCTGCGATCTGCGAAATTGTCGCCACTTTCGAGGGCTGCTGGTGGGTCTTGCGGAGTGAGGCACCGCGCGGATCTGAGCGAGACCTCGCCGTTCCTGGGGGGCTGCGATCTGCGAAACTGTCGCCACGTTCGAGGGCTGCTGGTGGGTCCTGCGGAGTGAGACACCGCGCGGATCAGAGCGAGACTTCGCCGTCCCTGGGGGGCTGCGATCTGCGAAACTGTCGCTAAATTCGAAGGCTGCTGGTGGGTCCTGCGGAGTGAGGCACCGCGCGGATCTGAGCGAGACCTCGCCGTGCCTGGGGTGCTGCGATCTGCGAAACCGTCGCCGCTTTCGACGGCTGTTGGTGGGTCTAGCGGAGTGAGGCACCGCGCAAATCTGAGCGGGACCTCGCGGTCCTTGGGGGGCTGCGATCTGCGAAACTGTCGCCACTTTCGAGGGCTGCTGGTGGGTCCTGCGGAGTGAGGCACCGCCCGGACATGAGCGGGACCTCGCCGTCCTTGTGGGTCTGCGATCTGCGAGGCTGTCGCCACTTTCGAGGGCTGCTGGTGGGTCCTGCGGAGTGAGGCGCCGGACGAGCGGGACCTCGCCGTCCTTGTGGGTCTGCGATCTGCGAGGGGCCACTTTCGACCTCGCGGAGTGAGGCGCTTCCTGAGGGGCTGCGATCTGCGAAGCTGTCGCCATTTTCGATGGCTGCTGGTGGGTCCTGCGGAGTGAGGCACCGCGCGGATCTGAGCGGGACCTCTCCGTCCCTGGGGGGCTGCGATCTGCGAAATTGTCGCCGCTTTCGAAGGTTGCTGGTGGGTTCTGCGGAGTGAGGCACCGCGCGGATCTGAGTGAGACCTCGCGGTCCCTGGGGTGCTGCGATCTGCGAAGCTGTTGCCACTTTCGAAGGCTGCTGGTGGGTCCTGCGGAGTGAAGCACCGCGCGGATCTGAGCGAGACCTCGCCGTCCTTGGGGGGCTGCGATCTGCGAAATTGTCGCCATTTTCGAGGGCTGCTGGTGCGTCCTGCGGAGCGAGGCACCAGGCAGATCTGAGCGGGATATCGCAATCCTTGGGGGGCTGCGGGCCTCACGTATGCCGCTCGCAGAAGTATATGCGCCCATGTCACGTCATTACCTCCGTATAACGTCTCCCAAGCTACTCATGCCCCGCATTGCGCAGGGATTGGGTACGTCACCAGGGTAATTTTTTGCCGTCCAAAGTCGGCCTGTGGGGGGACATGCCCGACCTAAGGCCAGTGGGATCCCAGCAGCCGCGTCCAGCTAGCAGGGTGCCCACGAGAACTGCGGCAACGGCTGGGTCGGGCATGTCCTCCCGGTAGCTCGCCGTCCCTGGGGGCTGCGATCTGCAAAATTGTCGCCTCTTTCGAGGACTGCTGGTGGGTCCAGCGGAGTGAGGCACCGCGCGGATCTGAGCGGTAGCTCGCCGTCCCTGGGGGGCTGCGATCTGCGAAATTGTCGCCACTTTCGAGGGCTGCTGGTGGGTCCAGCGGAGTGAGGCACCGCGCGGATCTGAGCGGTAGCTCGCCGTCCTTGGGGGGCTGCGATCTGCGAAACTGTCGCCACTTTCGAGGGCTGCTGGTGGGCTCGCCACTTTCGAAGGCTGCTGCTGGGTCCAGCGGAGTGGGGCACTGCGCAGACCTGAGCGGGGCTTCGCCGTTCTTGGGGGGCCATGTCATGTTGTTGCTGCCCCGCCGACGTTTCAAGCCCCTTGCCCACCGTCTCCTTTTGGACCTTGCGTCTTCCTCAGTGACTCAGGGGGTCACTTAGTTACTCATCATATGTCCCTTGATTGGGGACCTGCGAACCTTCCGAATGCCGCTCGCAGAAGTAGATGCGTCCATGTCACATCGCCGCCTTCTCGTCAAACCTCCCAAGCTACTCCTGCCCCGCATTGCGCAGGGGTTGGGTACGTCGCCAGGGTAATCTTGCAAATTCCGTCTGTAGAGGGACAGGGCTGACTTAAGGCAAGGGACCGGCCACGAGGCACCGGGGGAGCCCAGCAGCCGCGAGGAGGAGGAGGAGGAGGAGGAGGAACAGTAGGAGGAACAGGAGGAGGAACAGGAGGAGGAGGAGCGGAGCCATAGGACAATGAGTCATCCGAAAACGAAACACAGCCTGGACATGATATGGAGGCACACCTTAAACTCAGATGCAAAACGCACTAGCATACAGTTAGTGAAATGCCGGTGTGGTAAAGCCGCCGACGCCAGCGAGAAACCCAACGAAGTAGGTACTCAGCACAGCACCTGTAGAAGGGTGCTTGCCATCATCGAGCCACTCCCTGGCACGCCGACGGGCGGGGTTCGGGGGGGCCGAGGGGCAGGCCTCCCCGAGGGCATCGATCTTGGGAGAGCCGACTGCCACCCGCGCCCCACAGCGGAGGCAGAAAAAGAACGGCCCCGTGCGATGGACTCGGTGGCCATCACACTCGAGAAGAAGTCCGCCCATCTCCGCCGCCACGCTCCTCCCTCAGGGGAGGAGGAGGAGGAGGAGGAGGAGGAGGAGGAGGAGGAGGAGGAGGAGGAGGAGGAGGAGGAGGAGGAGGAGGAGGAGGAGAGGAGGAGGAGGAGGTAGAGGAGGAGGAGAGCAGGAGGCAGGAGAGGAGGAGGAGGAGGAGGAGGAGGAGCAGGAGGAGGAGGAGCAGGAGCAGGAGCAGGAGGAGCAGGAGGAGGAGGAAGAGCATGAGGAGCAGGAGGAGGAGGAGGAGGTGGAGGAGGAAGCGGGAGAGAACGCCACGATCATCCGATCCAGGTCCGCGCGACGTCAAAAAGGAGGCGCGGTGGCGTGCCCGCGAAAATTGCGGCAAGGGACTGGCCACGAGGCACTCCGGGGAGCCGAGGCGCCTGCGCGCCGCCCCTCCCAGGAGGGACCGCTCCGGCAGCACGTCGGCACCACGGGGCTTCGGCCAGAACGGACAGCCCCTCGCCCTCCTTCGCCCACCCTCGCCCGCCCCCGACCGTCCCCCTCGACCGCCCTCGCCTCCCCCCCCGCCCGTCCTCGCCTCCCCTCGCCCACCACCGCCCGTCCCCGCCCTCCCCCGACTGTCCTCGCCCTCCCTCGCCCTCCCCCTCGTCCGTCCTCGCCCTCCCCCCCGCAGCCGGGAGCCCCGCCCCCCCGGCGCACAGGGCCAGATCTTGCCGCCCCTGGCGGAGTTCCAGGCGCGTGGCCTGGCGGCGACCAGGAGGGGGAGAGGAAGGACGGGGGAGGGGGGGAGGAGGGCAGGAACGAGAGGCGGAGGGAGGGAAAAAGAGGAGGAGGGGGCAGGGGGGAAGGAGGGGGGGGGAAGGAGGAGGACGAGAAGGAGGAGGACGAGAAGGAGGAGGAGGAGGAGGAGGAGGAGGAGGAGGAGGAAGAGGAGGAGGAGGAGGAGGAGGACGACGAGGACGAGGACGAGGACGAGGACGAGGACGAGGACGAGGACGAGGACGAGGACGAGGACGAGGAGGAGCACGAGGAGGAGCACGAGGAGGAGGAGGAGGACGAGGAGGAGAGAGGAGGAGAGGAGGAGAGAGGAGGGAGAGACACGGAAGGACGGGAGAAGGAAAGGGAGGAGGAGAACCAGAAGGAGGGGGGAGGGCAGGACCAGGGGAACGAGAAGGAGGAGGAGAACGAGTGCAAAGACGGGGACGAGGAGGAGGGGGAAAGTGATGAGGGGCCTTGTTTGGGGGTTTTGGGGGTCTTTGGGGAGGGGGGGTCGCATCCCGGGGAAAGGGTTCGAAATGTCTGTTCGAGTTCCTCGTGTTGGGCCCGCCGTGGGTCCGTCTTGGGGGCCTCTCTGGGTCTTCGGGGGCCTGAGGCTATGCTGGTGGCCTATTGGGCCGTCCTGGGCTCTCTTGGACCGTTGCGCCAAAGACCGCCAAAGTATTCAGTAATCGAGGGTTGTGCCTTGATTTGGGCCTTGGGCCGACCCCCAGGGCTTTACAGATGCGCCCAAGAAAGCTCCAAGATAGGGCCCAAGAGACCACCTTGGACAAAGTTGGAAGTATGGAGAGAGAGAGAGAGAGAGACACACACACACACACACACACCACACACACATACACATACACACAAACACACACACAGATACGGAGAGAGAGAGAGAGAGAGAGAGACAAAAAAGGGGGCAGACAAGACAGGTGGGAAGCATGCACCCCCAGCCACACCCTGAAGGCCTCGGGGAGAAAAAAAAAAACGCGAAGGAAATGTATTCCAGGAGCGCCCTGGAGTTCCGGCAGGTCTCAATCCTGGGAAGTCAACGGGACGTGAGGCCACTCCACTCGGTGCCTACGGCACGGTAGTGGCGCACATAGCTGACGCAGGTAGGGCACAAAGAGTGCGTTGCTGCCATGAGCACGGGCAGCATTGTGTTCTCTTCAGGGCGCGGCTACGACCTGCTCCAGCTGAAAGAGGGGGTTCCCTCCGCTCTTCCATCCTCCTGCCGCTCTCCCATCCTCCCGTGTGCCAGAGTCCAACCACATGCAGTTGTGAGTACCACAGTAGTGGGTATCGTCTTCGGTGGAGCTCCCCATGAGGCCACGAAACGCTGCACCGGGCGGGGAAGACGCATGCGAACTTTGCCATTGGGGCCTTCGGTGGAGCTCCCATATGGGCCACGAAACTTTGCCACTGGGGTCTTCGGTGGTGAGGGCGGTTCCTTTTCAAAATGTGGCTCTCGCTTCAGCGCCGCGCCCATCCGTGCACAACAAATTGCAAAACATTGTGGGTTGAGGGTGGCTCCTCTCCAAAATGTGGCTCTCGCCTTAGCGCCGCGCACATTCGCTTTTTTCTAAAATTATCCTGGCAAAGCAACCTAACAGCGATGTGTAGGAGCATATCTGGAAGCATTCCCCTTCAGATTCAGATGAGAATCCAGTTGTAGAATTCTGCTGTTCTCGCAGTCGTAGTCGCATTCGCGATGACAGTCGCAGTGGCAACGGCAGTCGCAGTCACAGCCTCAGCCTCCTCAGCCTGCCTCAGCCTCAGCCTCAGCCTGCCTCAGCCTCAGCCTGCCTCAGCCTCAGCCTCAGCCTGCTTCAGCCTCAGCCTCAGTCTGCCTTCAGCCTCGGCCTCAGCCTCAGCCTGCCTCAGCCTCAGCCTGCATCAGCCTCAGCCTCAGCCTCAGCCTGCCTCAGCATCAGCCTGCCTCAGCCTCAGCCTGCCTCAGCCTCAGCCTCAGCTTCAGCCTCAGCCTCAGTCTGCCTTCAGCCTCGGCCTCAGCCTCAGCCTGCCTCAGCCTCAGCCTCAGCATCAGCCTGCCTCAGCATTCAAAATGTGGCCCAGGAATGGAGTTCTGGGAACTAGAAGAACACGAAGTGGCCTACAGTTGGCTCCGGGCATTCAAAATCATGCCCAGGAATGGAGTTCTGGGAACTTGAAGAGCACGAAGTGGCCTACAGTTGGCTCCGGGCATTCAAAATGTGGCCCGGGAATGGAGTTCTGGGAACTCGAAGAGCACGAAGTGGCCTACAGTTGGCTCCGGGCATCCAAAATGTGGCCCGGGAATGGAGTTCTGGGAACTCGAAGACCACGAAGTGGCCTACAGTTGGCTCCGGGCATCCAAAATGTACCCGGGAATGGAGTTCTGGGAAGTCGAAGAGCACGAAGTGGCCTACAGTTGGCTCCGGGCATCCAAAATGTACGCCGGGAGTGGAGTTCTAGCAGCGCCAAGAGCGATTTTGCGAGGATGTCCCAAGCGATTTGGGCTTCGACGGCAGCCGCGCCGGGTCCCGCTCCGGGTCCCGTCCCGACCCCCCTGAGGAGTCATGATGCTCTCTTTTGACCCCACTAGAAACCTATCAGTCTTCGCTGTTAGGTAAATTTGCAACAGTTTCATTGGTCCCCATGGTCAGCGTACCAGAAATGGTGTTCTGGAAGGACTCAGGATTATGAGGGCGCAACAGTTACATTGATTCGCGGTGTTGTAATCCCAAGAATAGCGTTCTGGCACGATCTGGCACGATCTTTGATCGTCAAGACGCAACAACAGTCAGGTTGATCCGTGGCGTTAGAATCCCAAGAACGATGTTTTAGCATGCATCAGAGTCTTCAAACGGTTGTCTTCCAACGAGGCAGTTCCCTCAGTGGAAATGAACCCTTTGTAGGGGCCCATGCAGAGGGAGCTTGGAGGGAGGGTTTATTCCAACATCGTTGATGATGACTCTTGGGTTTACACTGGTCCTCCTCCTCCTCCTCCTCCTCCTCCTCCTCCTCCTCCTCCTCTCCCTCCCTCCGCCTCATCCACACGGATATTGGATACTGATGGCAGTGGTGTCGTACCGACGCTGCCACACCCAGCTCAACCCCCGAGTGCTGAGCCGGTGTTGACAAGTTGGCCCACCAATCAAGTTGGGGGGGCTGCCCCTGGAGGGGAGGGAGACCGACGGAGGGGCGACACGAGGTTCCTCCACCACCGCCTCGTCCTCCTCCATCGGGGAGCCCCCAGAAGCCCCCTCAACACCCCGGAGAGCCCCCATCACATCTCCCCCAGAGTGCATTCCCTGGATTCCCTCCTCCCTCCCCTTCCCCTTCCCCTTCCCCCTCTTCCCCCCTCCCCTTCACCCCCCTGCAGCCTGGCATGCTCGGCGCAGCGTGCGCGCCACACGTAGCGGGCGACGCAGCGGAGCAGCGGCTGGTCCCGAGGCCCCGCCGGGCGGCAAGGGACGACGGGAATGCGCGCACGCGCGCTGTGCTCCACGGCGCGGGCCAAGATCCGGCGGGCCCGCTCGCGCGTTGCGGGCTGCTCTTCGCGTGGCTCGCTGGGCCCGCTTGGCTCGCCGTGGTGTCACCCTCGGCTCGGGCTCGTCGCGGGATGTAGAGCCGCAGCACCCCGCAGTCGCGGATGAGAGTGGGGCGGCGGCGGGGACGTCGACAGTCTGCGAGGTTCTGAAGAAGCCCGCCGCAGGCGCTTATGTTTCTCGGCAGGTCATAGAGCGAGCCCGCCGCAGGCGTCGATTCTTTCGTCTCGTTGAAGCAATGTGGATGGTTCATCGTCGTGCCACCCTTGCCTTGGGTTCGTCGTGGGATGCAAAACTGATTATTTTGGAGGCGGGAGACGGCGGCGCGCCCCCACCGCCGGCACGGAGGCAGGCACGGAGGAGGAGGAGGAGGAGGAGGAGGAGGAGGAGGAGGAGGAGGAGGAGGAGTAAAGGAGGCCTCGGGAGCTGCAACAGGAGGTACAGGAGGCCCCGAGGTGGTAAAGGAGGAGGAGGAGGAGGAGGAAAAGGAGGCCTCGGGAGTTGCAACAGGAGGTACAGGAGGTCTCGAGGTGGTAGAGGAGGAGGAGGAGGAGGAGGAGGAGGAGGAGGAGGAGGTAAAGGAGGCTTTGAAGGAGAAGGAGGAGGAGGACGACGAGGAGGTGAAGGAGGAGGAGGAGGTAAAGGTGGCCAGGCCACGGCGCGAGACCTCAGCAGGGCGAAACTTGGCGAGAGCACGAGCGAAGTCGCTCTGGCCACAGCGGGCGGGCCGCCAGGTCTCCTCCGGCCTGGCAGTTCGGGCCGCCCGCCAGGGCCAGGACCCGGAGGCGCCCGACGCCGCCGACGCCGCCGCCCTCGGCGTTCGTCAGGGGCGTCCTCCTCCTCCTCCTCCTCCTCCTCCTCCTCCTCCGCCTCCGCCTCCTCCCCGCCTCCTCCTCTCCTCTCCTCCTCCTCCTCCTCCTCCCCTCCCTCAGCCTCCTCCTCCTCCGCCTCCTCCTCCGCCGCCTCCTCCTCCGCCTCCTCCTCCTCCTCAGCCCTCGTCCTCCTCCTCCGCCGCCTCCTCCTCCTCCTCTGCCGCCCTCGGATCGGCTCAGGGGGGGACGCATCGGTCGGGCGATCTCAACCATGGATCAAGGGGGCGTGGATTAGCGACGGGTCCCGTTTCCAAGGGAAATGGCGGATTCCCGCCGCCGAGCGAGGCGGTACTGGCCGCATTTTGGGGAGGGCACCTCCCCTAATCCATGGATTAGGCGACCGCGCGCCAGATCCACGGATCGTTAATCCATGTATGCGCGCCCCCGAATCGAACCCCGATCGCCCATTCATCGCTGGTAGGGGCTCGACAGCCCCACCCGCCCCGCCCAGGAGCTTGCGCACTCGCTGTCGGGTGTCTGTCGCCGATCTGTCGACGAGGTTCACCACCCACCAAACCACCCCAACCCAACCCGAAGGCCTCAAGTTGCCCTGCATTTCCAGGGGGGGGGTCGGGGAACAGTGAGAAAACACATCTGGAACCCGTACACCCCCCAAGCCGAAATTCAGGTCGTCGGGTTTGGTTGGGTTGGGGTGGTTTGGTAGGTCAGGTAGTCAGATGTATCGCCCCCCCGTGAGCTGGTCCCCTCCTGACCTAACGTGGGCCCCTCCTGTTCGTCGTCGTCGAGGATCGATGTGTGTTGTGCGGTTTTGGTTCTCCAGGGGGGAACTCCGGAGGCCTCGCGGGATCGATGGATGGAGGTTCTGGGGTTACGTCGGGCATGGCCCTCGGCAGGACGACTAATCAAGAATAGTTCAAAAAATAGTCTGGTGACGATTTGTCGATTCTTTTTGGACTATGTTTGAGTATGTTGTCATTGTTCCCATGTTTCTTTCCGAAATCCGCCAGGGCGTTTGGGCCTCTGAGCATCTCGGGGAATCGCTGGAGGCGTCCAGGAGCCTCGCATGGCTTCCCGAGGTCGCAGCCGACACCGACGCCGTCGGCGTCACGTTCTTCTGCGGTCGTCTGTCGCCTGCCGTCCGTCCACCTGTCGTCGTCCGTCGTCCGTCCTCGTCGGCCATCGTAGGCAGTCGCCGTCCGTCGTCGCCCGTCGTCGTCGATCGGCCGTCGGCGTCCTTGTCCTCGTCGTCCTCGTGGTCGTGGTCATCGTCGTCCTCTTCTTCCTCCTCCTCCTCCTCCTCCTCCTCCTCCTCCTCGCCAACACCCCCACTCGCTACCCCCACATTTCGGTTGACCTGATCATCCCCCCTCCTTTCCCGCTTCCGCATCGTGCCTCTCGCGTACAGGCAAAGCGCTCAACAAGGACCACCTTGGGCTCAGGAGGGGCCGTGTTTTCTGGAGCGTTTCGCAGATCCGGGTCGGGGAGCCCGTT